CGCTAATCACCCATCAAATCGCCGGCAAGGTGGAGCAGCTGTTCTCGTAAGGAAGTGCATTGCGCACTCCAGCTTGCTCCCTTGCTCGGAAGATCGTCTCCAGATAGCTGCCATCTCACTGCCCAGACCAAAGGGTGGCCCACTGAGAGTTGCTGCCATATATTGCCCACCCACATACGAGTGGACTGAGGTCCAGTTCAAAGAGCTGTTTGATTCTTTGGGTAGAGTTTTTATTATTGCTGGTGATTGGAACGCCAAAAGCCAATGGTGGGGTAATGCTAGGTCCTGCAGGCGTGGCACTGCGCTTCTGAGAAGCGTTCAGGGTAGCGGTCGAAATATCCTGGCCACTGGATCCCCAACTCATTTTCCCAACAATCGGAGGCATACACCATCTGCAATTGACTTTGGCGTGTACCAAGGTATTCGCTCCAACCTTCTTCAAATCGTCGCGGCTCCAGAACTAGGATCCGACCACGTCACTCAAATCATCAGACTCCTCCAAAGACCTGAAGCTGGAAAAGGAAAAGTTTTATTAGCAAAAAGTGCCAATATCAGAAGGTACCAAAACTCACTTGATCAACACGTCCACCTGGAAACAGAGCTGCTCTCGGGAGATGATGTCGACGATGCGGTCAATATCCTGCAAAGGAACATCGAAAATGCTGCCTTAAATGCCGCCCAGCCTGTTTGTTGCCAACAGAGTCCTCATCTCTTGCACCTAGACCGCCGTACGCTCAAACTGCTGGAAGCAAAAAAGATCGTTAATAAAATGTACCAGAAAACTCGGAATCCGGTCATTAAACTTACCTTAAACAGCCTTACTAATCGCATCAGCAAACAGGTCAAGCTGCTTAAAGCACAAAAGCTTGACAGGCTACTACAAAGCATCGATCCGGCGGACAGGTACAGAATGCAGAAGCTGTGGGCCATCACAAACAACATCAAAAGGCAACCTGCCCCAAATCTGCCTGTGCGCAAGCATGTTCCAGTCGGATGTCCAGCTCTTGATGACCCTTGGTGCAAAAGCACGGAAGAAAAAGCAGAAGCCTTCGCCCAGCACTTGGAACTACGCTTCACTCCAAGAATTACAGCAGAACCAGAAGACAGAAGGGAAATTGAAGAAGGTCTCCTTTTACCCAGTCCAACAGAGCAAGAGCAGGTCAGACCGTTCACCATCAGCGAGGTTCAAGCTGAAATTAAAAAACTGGAGTCAAAAAAGTCACCTGGGCTTGATCGCATTTGCAATCGAGCGATAAAGGCACTGCCGATCTCTGCCATCACTTACTTGACGCTCATCTTTAATGCTGCTCTCAAATTTGGCCATTATCCAAAAGCATGGAAGACTGCCACGGTCACCATGATACCGAAGCCAGGCAAACCACCGGATCAGCTGGCATCCTACAGGCCAATCAGTCTTCTCTCTGGGCTATCTAAGCTTCTCGAGCGCCTCCTACTGGGTCGATTGTTTGAGGTACGCAGCTTTGCTAGTTCTATTCCAAACCATCAGTTTGGTTTTCGTGAACAGCACTCAGCAGAACAGCAAATTGGCAGAGTCACCCAGTTCATCCTACAGGCACACGAGAAGAAAATGCACTGTTCAGCAGTTTATATGGACGTTCAGGAAGCTTTTGACAGAGTGTGGCACGAAGGTCTCCTCTGCAAACTGAAGAGATTAATCCCGGAAAGCCTTCACCGCATCCTCACCAGCTACCTAACCGGCAGATCCTTCAGGGTTGTTTGCAACGGCGTCACCTCTTCCACAATGAACATTGCAGCTGGAGTACCACAGGGCAGTGTTCTTGGACCTGTGCTGTACAATGTGTACACTAGCGACATACCAAAGCCACCCAGATACAGCTGCAATATGCTTGCTACATACGCTGACGATGCAGTCTACTTAGCGTCGGATTACAACATAAAAAGCTGCATCACCAACATGGAGAAGCTGCTATCTGATGCTGCCAAATGGGCTAAAAAATGGGGAATTACGATCAGTAACACAAAAACGGCTCATGTCTTACATACGCTCTCAACAACATCTACACTGCTGCAGCATCCATCTCCAAGGCTTTCCGAGCAACACCTGGCCAACAAAAATGTGTATCCGTATCTGGGAGTCCAACTAGACAGAGGTCTCAACTTCAATAAGCATATCCAAGCTGTAATTACAAAAACAATAGCTCGGATTAAGAAACTGGAATGGCTCATTGGAAGAAGGAGCAAATTATCCACTCGCGCCAAAACATTGCTGTACAGGCAGCTAGTAGCTCCGATATGGCAGTACGCTCTTCCTATCTGGGGCTCTCTTGCATCCAACACGCACATGAACAAGATCCAGGTTATTCAAAATAGAGCTATCCGAGCTATCGTCGATGCGCCTTGGTATGTCAGGAACAGCTTAATCCATGCAGATCTCCAGTTGCCTACAGTGGAAGAAACATATAATAATCTCACAAGAAACTATTATGAAAGGCTGCTCCAACATGACAACTACCTGGCAAGGAGACTTGTCATCAACCCCTGCATCCTGCAAAGACTCTCCAGACCACGATACAGCGAGGCGATTGCTAATCATCTGCCCAGGATGATGCGCTTACAGCCGGCCCAACAGACAGGCGAATATGCCTCAGCGAGCGATCTGCTGCAACGACCTACAGCAACAGCACGCCATCCAGACGACGTTGATGACCAGCTCCAGCAGGCCAACCTCCAAGAACTCCAGAATAGCGTCCTCCAGGCATTACACAACTCCAGGCGAAGTCATCCTTTCACCACCGGGAACAGCAGCAATGTCCCAGCGGCACCTGTAAGAGATAATTTTCCACAAGCTTATTCTCTTCCACAGACAACAAATGAAGTAAACTTATCTGAAGCTGAGCGACAGTAGATGGCAGCACGAAAAATCTCCAATCCGACAGCGTCCTCAAACTGCGCAGTCCAACAGTCTTATTGTCACAATTTCCACATACGAGACGCAGCCTGACGCCCTCGCAATAACCTCCGCGAAGCAACTGGATCCTAGGACCTGAAAGAAAAAGAAAATTACTCACATACCTGAAGCCCAGCGACGGGAATGTCAACAGCACGCAACTCCAACAAGAACTCCAAACAGCGGCACAAGCATCGGCACTCTTTCGACAATTATGTTGTCCAAAGTTGTGCGATGCAAGCAAACTGCAGCAGCTGGATGGAGCCCACCACTGCCGCACAGCTGTATTTAGGCAGCAAGGCTATATTTAAGCATCGAGTCCACTGAAATGAAAAGATTATTATTATTAATTAATGTAAACAAAAGAACATCTCACTGCAATGGAGACGCAGAATGTTCGATAACTTTTTTCGATACTATCGTATATTAGTATTATCACTCTTGTATATAATTACCTATGTCCCACTGATCCGTAGTAAGCAACTTTGTAAGCTGTAACGTTAATTAATTTATAAGATGTGCTGTATAAAGTACAAATAAATAGAACGTCAGGTGTTGGTATCCTTACTCTCTACTCCAGCCCTGTTGGAGTATTTGAGTTTAGTGTCATACCATTCTGACGCCATACTAGGTTCCGATCCCTTTGCGTTTGGAAGTTAGCGGAAATTGGTTGGAACGACGCATTGTTTTTGTGCGTATGTGGATCGCTGGGCGTTAGATATATCTCTGTAGTCCTCACTGCTTATGTGCCTGCTAGGTACTCCCAGGCATACGCCGTCATACCGTGGCCAGATTTTACTCTGAGTTCCACCCTGGTTCATATATGTTTTTGACGACCACGCTGTGACAGTGCTGTAGACGTTGGCGCTTTTGAGCAGTTAGGTTTTGATATTTTCAGTCTAGCCTTTTGGGAGGCAACTCCCGTGCAGCTCATTATAATGGCGACAAAACACAGAACTCCACAAGAGCCATTAAAATACTGGCGCCAAAGATACACTATACTGCTCCCGATACCAGGTGTCGCGATGAAGTAGACATGATTCCGTAAAGCGCTCTCTCTATCAAAGGATAAATGGTCCAGGGACTGACACTGAGACTCATTTGCTGGCTTCGGATCTATATAGGCGAGTGGCTGTGATGCATTTTCCATTACACAGCTACTTAATGGATCAGGCCATAATCAAAGCCCATAGCTTTGATCGCCATAACGATGTGTCGTACACCAACGAACTTTTCATCCCGCAGCAGCCAAGCGAGTTTGTGCCAAGACCATGGCATTGGTGTACTGCTCGTGCCGCGGTACACCATAATGGGTCTGCAAGACTTTATCATTTGACTCCATCTGAGTGAATACCACATAGCTAAAAAATACATACAATATAAATACATATATTAAGTTTTAGACTTTGGAATATGGTCAATATGCATAGAAGGAAACAGCATCTGTGCTATATTTTCTTTGGAATTAAAAGGGAAAGTTATTCGCTAACGCTAATTTACATTTTTGCTGGTCAGCCAACCATAACGAAACCAAAAAAGTGATGTTAGGTAAACTGATTAGAATCCAGGCTAAAATTTAAAACCCCTTAAAGGAGAGCCCTGGATCTTTTAAACATATTGAAATCAAGGATAATAAGGATTTGCCATTTGAACGCTATTTTGTAAGCGATTTTTTGGAGACCTATATCTAAAATCAAGCTAGTTTTTGTTTTTGTTTTGATTTTACGATTTATTTGTGCAGTGAAGAAATGAGTAATGCCAACCACGTGTCATTGGAAAAAGACCCTCACTTCCCGTCTCACAATTTGAATATCTGGGAATAATTCGGATGTGAGCACTATATAAATACATACATATATGAAATAATAAGCAAACTCACCAGCACCACAAAATCGCGCGCAGTTGAATTTCTGTTCATTTGAGTAGAGCTGCATGTTGCTACCACAAATGGGATTATACTCTGGAGTAGTTGGACAACTGCCAAAGCAGTCTAGAAATTGTTGTGTCACTGGCGGAGGAGTGACGAAAGGTGTAATAGTACCTTGTACTCTTACATTGTTGACCAACTACCCAGCCTGCCTCAGAAGTAGGAACATAGCGTGATATTATCGTTCCAGATTTTTCCAACGGGTTTTGTGTAGTTTGAAAAATAAGTTGCGCAGTCACTATGGGAGTAGCACAGACTAGTAGTATAATTTTGTTTCAAAATCTGATCATCTTAAAAAATCCCGTTAGCTTTTACCTCGTTCGCTGCTCTAGCGATACTAAAATATTTTCACATAGCAAGCTGCATTTCGAAAGACAACAGTACAGGTTTGCGAAACTGCCATCTCTGGTAATTCCAGTTTTATGAGATATATAGGAGGCATCTATTTAGTCTAAATTTTTATTGCGCAGGTCTGCTGATGAATTCGGTCCTGAATTCCCTACTCCGCTAGAGTGAGTAAAAACCGAATTCATTGTAATAGCAGCTAGGTGATTTATTCATTATAAGAATTTTATTACTCAAATTTAAATTTTAGCCTATTATAATAATATTATACGGCACTGCTGTTATGCGTGGCCCGGTCATCGAGAAGGTCGGCGAAACGTACTGCATAGATTGCTCTAGTTTTCGATAGCTCGGCTGGATTCCTAAAAGCCCAATAGAAGCTGCTTAGCAAAACAAAATGTTAATAGTTGCTTGTAACTATTTTGGTTGTTCGGTTAACCTTACAGTTGGATGTGCGTGGCACATTTACTGGTATTTTCGTTTGAGCATTATCTCCGGGTTCCCCTGTTTTCATTAGGGAATCTTTGGGACTTGACTGTGTAACGTTATAATCTGGACTTGCCGTTCTCTGTAGACATCTTCCTATGTGTGAGGCCCGGCGGAACCGACCACAGCGACATCTAGCTATTAAGCTATTATGCATACCCGGTGACATAAATTGGGATTCGCCCTTATTGTCGTAAACAAAAGGGCAGAATTCTTCAAAAATAATCTCTTAATTAGAAAAAAAATAAGCAAATCTGTATACCATATGTACCTTGCAGGTTAAGTTGTCCCTTTAGCTGTGAGTCAATCTGATTCTGATGGTAGAACTTATTGGCAGCATTATCGGAAATTCTATTCCACACCTCCGGATAATTATGTCGCCACTTGTGCTCCACGCGCACCTGCTCCTTTCTTAAAGGTTTATTTAAATAAACGTATGGAAAATAAAATGGTTGGAAATAGTTACAATTTTCCAATTACTTTAGCTGGATCCATCTGGCTTTCTCTTAAGGTCTCAAAAACACTAACTTGATACACTTGTCGATGTGCTCTTTGGTAAATTATTTGTTTACTATAGCAACGGAGTACAAGCTAAACTTATAACTACCCTTATCCTATAAAGAACGGTAACGACATGCACGTTGTATATAATCAATATTTTCATTTATTTAAATAGCATTACTTAATAAATGTTAGTAGAAATAGGCATTTACATTTTTTAAATACTTTTAGCTAATGTTTGGGTGCAACTATACCTATTGCATATATTGTACACACATGTGGGCATAGGTTAATTAGTGTTTCTCTTACTCCACTTTCCTTTTTACAAACTTGAAATTGTTCACTTTCAGTGCCTAGCTATTTGTTTTAGTACTGATTCGTATGCTTTGATTTCTGTTTTATTTACCGTAGCAGCTCTTATTTGTGTATTAGATAAGAAAGATATTAAGTTTTAATTATTGTAATGGGCTAAAAAGGCAATTACCAATAAAGATTTGACGGCAACTGGAACATTCCATACACTCGTATGTATGCATTTTGTATGTAATCGGAGCATATTTGTTATTAAAGCTAAGTAAATTTAATTGATATTTTGTAGCTATGCTTAATGAGTATATTGTTGAATTACAATTTTAAGCTAAAGCAAAAAGTGACATTGGTGTTTAACATTAAATGAACTTATGGCTAAAGATTTGAATCGGATACATGTATAAGTTACATTCGTGAAATACAAAAGCGCCAGAGTATAAAATTTAAAAAGAATGAATAGAGGATGACCGTTATATGACGCATAGATAAGCCAGGATAGTAAATGTTAATATATTATGCACAATTAACGGGAGGATTGCAAATTGCATTAACAGACCGACACTAGCTTCTTACTCAGACTAAAATTACATCCGCAATTACACTGAATCTTAAAAGCTAGACAACATACAAATTACGATAATTCAACAATGTAAACGCCCACAACGAACAATTTAAGCTACGATAACAGATTTGGGTTTGGTACAATTTCATTCTTTTTTTTGTTTTGTTTATGTTTGTCACTGATGTATTACATAATGTATTATATAATATACAATATTCTTTTTACAAAAAGTCAGTCCATAGTTTTGGGTATCAGATCGGCATTTATAGTATATTGCTAATGAAATCTGTTTAGATCTTCATAAAAAACCGTTCTCACAATATGCCATTCGTGTAGTACTGATAACCATCGTAAAGTTTAGTTGACAGACTTTTCAACGAATCCTGCACAAGCTGCTCAACCTTGCGTTCCATTTCTTGCTCGGTTAAATTCATATGAAAGCGTTTGCGGAGATTCTGTACGGTGCCGGAGCATCCATTTTTAAAGCACGGCAAATGGGCATCTGTACCAAAGAAATGTTTGCATGTAAAATAATTTTTTGCGGGCACTTTGCATAAGAACTTACTGCTTCGCATGATTTCTACAAAGTTTATGATGCGATCCATGTGCTTTCTGGCAGACATCATGCCCACGAGCAATAGGCGATTGAATTCGCGCCAATGTTCCGAGCTGGTTCCTCCCATGACTTCAACGAATTCAGGCGTAAGCTTAAATGGGGATTGTTCGAAGCCTGCAAAACCAATTTACTTTATAAGGATAACTTTTTCCACGGGTCGGGTGCACCAGGTACCTACCCAAGTTCTTTGGAGATATACTCAGAATAAATCCAAAGTCTATGTGTATAATGTGTCCATCCGAATGGAAGAGTATGTTGCCATTATGCCTATATGGTGAATCGACTATAAGTGAAGTTATAAGTGAATGTGTGAAGGTTTCATTATTACCTGTCCTTGACTTGCAACAAGTAGGATATCAGACAGTAAGCAGCACAGCTCTGAACAAAATTCTTTTGCGCACGGCGAAAACTTTCGCCCGTGGGTGTGCCATACTCATCGATAAAGTAATCCCTCAACGACTTGTTAGAGTTCTTTTTGATTTGATGCAGGGACACGGTGTTAAGGATGGGTTCAATAAGACCACTGTCATTTGACAGACAGACTATCTTATACGGACGCACCCACAGGTCTACTTGTTCCTCTTGCCAAATTATTTTGAACATCTGAAAGAAACAGGCAAAGGGTTTAATAGTCTAATAATATAATAATGACATTACGTGCAAAAGCAATCAAAAGCATACCTGCAACAGCTGTGTAGCCATGAGTTCCTGTCGCAAGTCGTCGCCACACTTAACAATGGCTGAAAGCAGTCGCCAGTTTGACAGGTGCCCATAGGGCGAAGACTCGCGAATAAGCTTCTCTTTCTCATCCCAGGGTTCCTGCGTGGAAATAATGAATTACATTTCAAAGCTAATAGATCGAGTGTCCTTGTTGAGTACTAACCTTTAGGGCCGCTGCCGAAGGATCTTCTGGATCGTTGCTAAACGATTTTGTGTTCTCGCAGCTTAAATTGTTATAGTGCCGCGAGCGCACATCCCCAATGTTGAAGACAATGGGTGGTCCTGCAACAATTCCCGGGAATCGGTACTATTTATACTCTGGACAATATGTAAGTTCTGGCTAAGTACTCACCTTGGTAAGTTGAGTCGCATGAGTCCAGTGACATCTGCGATACGGCATCCCTCTCGCTTATTTTTCGAATATTTAGGTACTGCGACGTGATCTCGTCGTCCTCCTGAGACCACACATCATCCTCATGAACCTGCAGGCCTCCTAGCGAGAGTGGGTAGCAACCGTCCCCGCAACCGCCATCTCCATCGCCAGCCTTTTTTCGCCGGCAGCTTGAGCTCTGGTGACTGCTGCTGCAGCTGGAGGTGCGGCTGCAACTCAGGTGCTGGTGCGAGTTCAGGCAGGATCCGTCCAAGTGCTCCTCGCTCTTGGTGTGCCGCAGTGACGGCATCATTTTTGGTATCAAGGGGGAGGTGTAGATGTCGGGCATCTCGACCACCTCCACGTAGATGATGTACGGGGTCTTATCCTTGGAATTGAGCACAGCAGTCTTCTCTTCCGTAATGCGAACGACGTGGTGTGGAATGTCCGAGTAGAGGGGTAGCCAAACTCTTGCGGGCAGGTTTTTGTTGATTAAATTAAGGAACATGCGCAATGCCGATGTTTTCTCCGCCTTCGAGGGCAGCGAAGTAAGATTCTTTCCCACATTCATCAGGGCCTTCATGAACTCCTTTTGCGGCGCAGTCTTTGGAGCGCCGCAACTGCAGAGCGTTCTCTGGCCAAGCAAACCGTTCACCTGGCCCCGCACCGTCTCAAAGCAGGTGCAGCCGTTGTCGAAGGCATGCCCCGAGGTCAGGTCACCAAGACACAGTTTGGTAGGCGCAGTAAGTAGCGTTTGGGTGTTGAAGGGCGGCTTCTGATATATCCGGTGGGACATACTAAGGGTATGTGGGGGTCGTGAATCGGTAAGCAGTACAGTGGCATCGGACTGCGAGCGGTAGTGCGTTTTCTTGGCGTTGGCCACAATCGATCTCGGCTCAGCACCGACGAAAGTGTTTTCGTTGGCCGCCTTCATCTCGCTCTGTGCATGTTTCTGTTCCTTTTTGGAGAAGATTTCCTTCATGAGCGCCAGTTTGGACTTTCGGGTGCCACTGTGCGAGTTACCCAGCGAGTCCATTTGGTAGTTGTAGGCCTCCAACAGCCATAAGCATTTGAGGGAGAAGTCCACAGACTTGCGACATCGAATGGTGAGATAGGGGTCCAGAACCTCGGCCAACTCATCCATTTGTACGTACATGACGATCAACTGTGGTATGTATAGGTCGACCTCCTGGTCCTGGAAGCTGAAGATCTTGTTGCCAATGAAGCTGAGCACTCCCGGCTCCTTCGAGTAGAAGAGATAGTGCACAGCAAAGTGTATGTTGAAGACCGGCGACTCGAAGAAACGCAGCAGTCCGCTCTGGCCTTTTTCGGGCTTCTGCAGCACATCCGAGGTTGGAGCTCGCTCGCTTATAAAGTACTTGACCACACCAGGCACGGGCAGCTTCAGATTGTGCAGCGAGTTAGTGGAGGTGCTCTTGGCAAGTGCACCTTCAATTGCGCCTTCAGTGTCCGCCCCAGGTAGGCGCAGGTTGAGCGTACGCTCCTTCATCTTCATATCGGTTGATGAGTCGGACAAGAAATGCAATTTGGAGTCTCCTGCTGCTGTCGACGATTCTGTGGGGGTGGCGACTGGCGTACTGGCTGCTGAGTTTGCCGCAGCTGCCGCAGCAGCGGCTGCTGCCTTCTTACTGGAGTTGGACGTGAGCAAACTGAAGAACTCTTTCTTTTTGGAAATGTCCGTCGGGGACTTGACAGGGTCGTGCGGGGATGTGCTGGCACCACTCGGCGAGTTTAGCAGGGCCGTCGGGGAAGTATGGTCCGGCTGCTGTTCGCCTACCTTCTGCTTGGCCGCGTTCTTCTTCTCATGGTTCTCTATGATGCTTTGGGCCGTGCGGAAGATGGCGTTCTTGGTGGCTCCGAAGAAGTTCTTGAAAAGCACCTGGTCGTTCTTGGTGCTCTCATTGGGTGTGGGGGTGGCTGTAGGTGTGGGTGTCGTCGTTGGCGTTGCTGGCGATGTAGGCGTGGGCAGGGGCGGTGGTAGAGGCGTATTTGAAGTAATTGTCGATGAGTCCGCAAAATCATGATCCGGTTCCTTGTGTTCGTCCACTGATTCGATTTCATTGGGCGGCGTTCCCAGCTCTATATTGATGGCCACCCGAGACATGTTCATGACGCGATATCGGGTCCTGTCGTCAACACCAGCATCTACGCTACGCTCTTGATGTTTCGACATCTGCTTGGCATGCTCCAAAGCGAGCTGCTGCTGGCGCCTTTGCTTACGTGATGGACGCAGAGTGCGACAGTCAATTTCGTTGGAGACTTCGTGTCGAGGATAAAAACACTGATGATCCGATTTCATTATGTTGTACTCCTCGTCTACGGATGTCGTCTCGATCAAATCTATGCACGCCTCCTCGGCATCTGCATCTGCGTCCGCATCCATTTCACCAGAATCCAGCGATTCATGTGAGTGGCATATGCGATTCAAGGATAGTTGGTCCGACTCGGAGCCACATATGATGCCTACAATCAAGAGGAAGTGTATTAATGAATAGGGGCTGCCGACATGATTACGGAAAACTCTACAGAAAAGCAAAGCCATGTCTGTTTTCGATTTAATTTCTAAAAACTTACCAGAGTCGTCTGATCCTAGACTGGTGAGATCCTCTCGTTTCTTGCTGCTGCCAGCGCTGCTGCAACTATTATTGCTGCTGTTTTCTCCATTGCTGGTGCCACTGCCTATGGCGCCGACCATCTCCGGCCCAACAGACTCTGCCACCGAGTCGCTGGACTTGGGTCTCACTCGCAACGTCGGACAGGCCTCCACTGAAAGAGGGATATGTGTTAGAACCTGCTATGACATATGTATCTGGCACTAAGGATGCTGATACTTACCGACACTGGGCCTGCAGGGAGCATGCAAAAAAATCGATGGCTGGTGCTTCTGTCTCTGTTGCACTAGATGTTGCCCGCTCACCTTCGGTGTTAGGGTTGTCGGTGCTAAAGACGCCATGGATGTGATGGATGGCGAGGGTGTCGTTGGAGGGGAAAGGGCAGCCGTTACACTTGCCGCTGTGGTGGAAATCCTTGTGCACATATTCGTACCTAGTATGGACGTTGGAGAGCAGAATGTGTTCTCGGTATCGGCATTGGGAGATGACACTTCGACCTGTGTGAGCGATAAGTACACAAATATATAATTTAAGCTACAAAATAATTATAGCCTAAATAGAGACTTCTCCCGGAGGAGCCCTGCAGCTGCAGAGGATTGTGGCACTTCTTCACAGTTTGGAAGAACGGGGAGCTGGCAATCGCACCGGTGCTGTGCCTTGCTTTGTAACTGCCTGGTCTTGATAGCCAGAAAAGTACACAAATATTAAGCACAACAGCGATTGCAAAATGTGAATAACAATGCCAACGGCAACGATAAAAGTATAAATAAACACAGCGCATCACCCATACACGCAAAAACACACCAGAACACACATACAGACACGGGCTTAGATAAAGACTTAGAAACTTTCCAGGTTTTACTGCTTTTGGCAAGTGCATACATGTGGCGGTAGGCGTTAGGTGTGTCGGTGTATGATGGGTGAAACGGGCGCCATCTACAAGGTTATTCGCTGACATTTTCTTTGGGATGTTTGGGTTTGATGGAGGGGCAGGCAAAACACAGCCACTAATTGTCACCACAATTAGCCTCACACTCACCTCTGGTATGCGTTGCAGGGCGCTGTCGAGGCTGCGATTGCGATGATGCTGGGTGTGATTAATGCGTGTATTGGTCACCTGAGAGACTGGTGGCAGCAATATCCCCATGGATCTGCAGGGCATAAAAAAGTTAGTACTTAAGTTTGATAGTAGTGAAAAAATCAAAATATGTATATACTGGTGTATCTGTTGCTAAGATTTCTTGACAAACATAATATGTTTCGGACTGCCACAGACACGGGCAGGAGCAGGGACACGGGACACACACAAGACAATTGGAGCTAACCTACGTCGCAGTTAGGTTATCATATCGGTCGAAACTATTTACAGCTATATAGGGATAGATAGAACGGTGATAGACGGACGCCCTTTAAATTAAATTAACAACGTTCCACATGCTGACGGGAGTTCCACACACAAACACATACCAATGTATTATAGAAAACAATGCGCGTGAAACACAAAGAAACACAGACACAAAAACACACACATTTTCACAAACACCCACACAACACCGTAAAGACCTATGCCGAGTGCGAAGCCACAGCGAGGGGAACTCATTTTTGCGTTTAATACGAGCGGCGGAGAGAAATTTCGATCCGAGAGAACAAGTGAAAACAAAAACACCAAGAGCTTTTATTCACAGCTGATTTTTAAAGCTTTTGGGCCTTTTTGCGAGGAGGGATTCAAACGTCACTGTCGCAGCTAAGCAGAGATTTTTTTCTGTGCTCAACGTTATCAGCGTATCTCTGTCAATGTGTTAAGTGGAGTGTACTCAGCGGCCACGATAAGCGGGAAAGTTTGATAGCCAGCTCCATAGGCTTGACCTTCAGCGGGGCGCGGGTTTTCCCTACATCTAGGCATTGCCCTACATGTGCAGCAGCCAGAACGTTTACCAGAAATCTTGGTCAAAATGCAGAGCAGGGCAGGCGCTCCCAAGTTGATCGATTGGCCAACGTCATTTCGCATGCGGGTAGCATGACCATCTGCCGAAGATGGTTACTCCAAGTCGCTGACGTCGTGTCTGGCAAGCCTCCTTATTTGTCTCGTTTTATCAATTATATACGCATTTGCATTTATTTACAGATGGTTCCCCCTCTTCCGTTCCCGATATCTCCTATTACTCTTCTTCACCCGCTACTGCACGTTCCATGGACCTGATATTTGAGTTTTTATTGACTTTGCCGGCTTATTAGATCCGTAGCTCCGTCCGCACAACACGTATCCGGTTTTACGGGTTCAATGTTGACCAAGCGCGTTGTGTCTGCGAGCCAGATTTCTGGCCCTTCATCACTAGCGCTTGTTTGCCTCAAATGTCATCAATAGTGCAGGTTTACTCAGCGACAGCAGCTGGAACTCAGCTCCTTTCAGCACTCGAACATGGCCTTATCCTCCGATTGTCGGAGATATGGACAGACGCTGCGCTTCCGTGCAAATACTAGCCGTCCCGTACGGCCAATGTTGCCAATGTTTCATTTTGCAGTTTTTTGAGTAGTTTTCCTTTCCACCCATGGATGGGGGCTTAAAGTGCCTCGAGCCATTCTGTATCAAGAGAAAACAGAAAGCGGGGGCTCCGACTGGAGGAGCTAACGAAATTAAAGATTAATGCCGCAAAAGGATCAAATCGCACTCATGACGTGAAACATGAGTAACACAAAAAAAGTTTAAAAAAGAGATAGAGAGCGGTTTGGGGTGGAAGAGCGATTGTTTTTTTGCTACCTATTACAAGGTGCGACAGGGTGGGACAGGGAAAGCTCCACGGAGTATACTTATTTGACGGCGCACGCACCCAGAAAAAACCAGGGTGTGGCACGTCATCTGCAGGTGCCCCACACAGAGATACATAAATATGTATGTATGTACAGTTGATGTTAAAATAACGTGCTACTAATGGATTTACATACTCGTATTGATCATTTTTTCCGCTATTCCTTCAACAATCGAATTTGTTTCTTTATTCGTACAACTATTAAGCATTTTTGTCCTTTGACTATAAAGTTATACTAGCGTGTCCCTTTTCTTTCCGTTATATTTCGAGATTTTTCGATAAATATCACCACTTTGATGCGATCAATATGATAGTAGTGCTACCAAAAATTTTGAAAATTATGAAATCTACTGCACTTTTTGCAAAGCTTTCATTGTTAATCAATACTTGAATGGTTTATTTAACAGTTTCAAGCTTTAGTTTAGTTTTTGGTCATTTGGTACCGGTGTCATGGGGCGTGGCAAACACTAGGGACTCTATAGTATAGAGCGAAAAAGGGTTCGTGCTTAAAGGACTCGTTTCAGTAAGAAAGTAATGTTTCGAGATGGTAAATACTAATGGTTGCTCAACGAAGTTATTCAGGAAAATATAAGTAGCTCAACCATTACGACAGGCGAGGGGACACAATTTTGCTCCTGCTTCGACCTCAAAATCAATGTTTCTATGGACTCTATAGTATAGAGCGAAAAAGGGTTCGTGCTTAAAGGACTCGTTTCAGTAAGAAAGTAATGTTTCGAGATGGTAAATACTAATGGTTGCTCAACGAAGTTATTCAGGAAAATATAAGTAGCTCAACCATTACGACAGGCGAGGGGACACCATTTTGCTCCTGCTTCGACCTCAAAATCAATGTTTAATTTTTTAAATAGTATTAAAACAATTAAACTATTAAAGGTTATAATTTAATGACACAAAGCCTAAGGAAGAACTGTTTACTGGCAAAAAAAACATGCAGTCCCAAGGTTGAAGTTTGCTAGGGATTACCTAAATTGACCATTGTAAAAGTGGAGGAAACCTTTATTTTCAAACGACTCCAAACATTTTTTTTTGTATCCTTGTATCTAAGACGACCACGGCTATCTAAATTTTCCACAAAAAATACTTCAAAAACCGAAAAAACTGCGTCACCGTAAACAATGGTTTAGGCTTGATTTTCCAGCTACGTAATTTTACCATTATATGTATGTGTTAAAAACATATTGGACCGTCATTTATACATTCCAATATCGACCGAAATGACATAGGCTACTCAATTTTTAATTAACTTGGAATATAAAGGTTTTGTATTGGATATAAAGTACACTCTCAGAAAATTTTGTTAGATCGTAGTCTCTTATGAAAAGTTGCATTACTATTATTTTGACCGACTCGTGTTTGAGGTACTTCATCATTTTAATTTTTTCTAAAAATTTATTTTAAGTTGTTTTCTATTATAAAAATCTGCAATTAAAATAGTCTCTAAAAAAACTAAAATTCTTTTGGGGAAGTGCTTGTAAGTCCTTTTATTAAGGATATGAAAAGTCATATTGGCACTACTATTATTTTGACCGCGGCTGTACCGCACCGTTACCCCATATTTCCGATGCCAGAGCCGGAGTCAAGAGCACGTTTTCCATGCTATGACAGAATTACATAGCCAAAATTAATAGATGGTGTTTGATATGAAAGAAAATTATTCACATATTTGTGCAACCTTGCAGCCTCTGAATTTGAGCCGTACAGCAAGACCACAGTTAAAACACATGATAGTTTTGGCCAAGACGTATTGGCCTGGCGTGTTGGCGGGGCCAGTGACGTAGCTACATGAATGAGGCTTGAAAAGTGGCCCGACAACGCCATTCAGTACGAAACAGGTTGAGGAGGGCCACATGCAAAGGCACACCCTGATACTCATTTCGGGGAACAGTTGAACAGACCGTGGCACCGAGTGCCGGCTTGTGTGTGGAGAAAAAGGCTTTTCGCTTTCTGTAGCGTCGCCATATTAGAACATCGAAAACACAAATAACAACGATACGATGGGACTAAAGGACTCTTGCCACATGGAATATAAGCAGAATAGGACGAAGGACATTCGAGGACTCACCTGAAATCCAGACTCAAGTTTCTTTGGTGTGTGGAGATACGTTTTGGCGGACCATTTACACCGTGTCCGGCAGTGGCCGCTAGTCCGCTATCGAGCCTGTCGCCTAGTGCCACACTGAGATTGGGTCGTCCATGAACCGAGGGCATCGAGTGGTTGAACACGCGGGTCAGGCTGAGGCGTGGCTTCGAGCAGCGTGTGTGCTTGGGTGTACTGGCCGCTGAGTTGACAGCCGACACGGCCGTGGTAGACATAGGGCCGCCGCTGAGGGGCAATGTGACCGGTGCAGCCATTAAAAAGGCGGGTATATAATTTCCATTCCCTGCCACCGCCCCTCTATCGTCCATGACGTGACGCGGTGTTGCCACGGGCGAGGTTAATGGCGTCGTTTGTGAGGATCCATACTCGCTGCAGACATTCGACTGGGACTGGAAGTTGTCATGGCCGAGGCCCAGGTCCGACCCAAACGAGGAGAGGGTTGTGGTGGACGTCGAATACGTCTCGCAGCTGATAGCCATGAAAGAATGGCTCTGGTTGCGCGGGGGGCTAGTGATCCCGCAGTTTGTGGACGAGGAGCTGTGCAGACTCAGGCTGGGACTGGGGTGGCTTGCCGAAGTGCAGGTGCCCTCCGCCACCGTTGGACTGTGCACCACGGTGCTGTTGCTGTGCTCGCTGGAGCTACTGGTGCTGTTGCAGGCGGCAGCCGAGAACTCCGAAATGTCTTCGTCATCCGCCGTCCCTGTTGCTGGAAGTTGGGGGGCGACCCACGAGTCGTTGAACTCCATGTTTGCATTTTCTATGGGGGCGGAAGCTGCCCCCACAGCGTCAACATTCTTTCCATTCATATTGAAGTCGGAAAAGGACTCAGCACTGGACAGACGCACGGTGGTGGGTAGGCAGTGATCCACCACATCGGCGCCAGCCGTGTCTTCCGCCACTACCACGACTGGGGATAGCAGCTTGTTGGCAGTCTCTATCTCACGGATGTGGCGCAGGTACTGGTAGCCGCTGCTCTGTGCCACCGATTTCTTCTGGGCCACTCCTCCGCTGACACTGGCTATGCTGATGCCGACACCGATCAGGCCACTGTTTTGGTTTTGTTTTGTATCGGCAGAAGGTGCGCCGACAATGCCGTTCGATGCAACCAGCGTGTTGCCGCTTGCCGCACTGTTCTTTTTTCCTTTAAATGCAGATATGACGGAGTTCATTTTGATGGCTAGAGAGGTGCGAGAGGAGGAAAGTGAGAGTGGCTCCCACTTGGATTCTTTCGGAATTTCCGGAGTGAGGTTTAGTTTGTGGCTCCTTCTAGTGGCGAAATCATCGAAATTTTTTCGTTTTCAATTGCACGTGGATGTGTTCCCGAATAAAATGCTGTGTTTTGGTTGATGTTGATGGGCTGCTCATCATCTTTCTGACCTGGCGGAGGCTTCAGTCAATGACATGGAACGTGTGGCCCTCATATCTGCCGTACTAGCACTTCTGTATGTTGTTTTTGTTATTTGTTGTCACTGAAGCAGAGGCTGGAAAGATACAAATACAAATGTTGATGTCAATTAGGAATTTTCTTATAAATTGCGATGAGGTAGAGGTTGAGGTAGGCAGTTTTCGTAAATGCTGCACTGTTCTTGAGCGTAGGAATGTTTTCTAAAATATGGTAGATACTCGTACGATTGATTAAGTACGAATCCCCCACACAGCCCCCACACAGGGGGCACAGCCTTGACCCATTTATTTCGTTTGACATTCATTGCTGTGACATTCATTGCCCTTTGGACTGGACCATCGACTTTAACTTGGCTTTCTTTCGGAGTGTGAAATGGAGGAATAGTGAAACCTTTGTTTTTTTGGCAAGGGTGCGGTGCCTCGGAGCTTACCAGGTGCAAAGATCCGGAGGCATACCCTCCCCGGGAATGGGGCTGTTCGACAACGTTGTCTTATCATCATTGGCCCATTCGTTCAACATCCTCTGTGTTTCTGTGTGCCCCCATTCTATTCTATGTGTGCTATACGCACACGCGCCCGGTGCTGGTTTGTACAAACATTGCGCATTGTGTCCGCAGGTGATTCACACAAAGCGAGTGATCCACCCACAGCGCCATATGTATGTATGTACATATGTACACATGCATGTATCTATGTAATGTGTGTTTGAATAAATATTATTATCAATGACACATTCACGAGTGTGATTGTGCATTCATTTCTCTGCTTGATTTATAAGCTATCGAATACTATCGACATAGCAATACTCCAAGAAAGATTCGAAGGACAAAAGTAGGAGCGCTGCTGTCTAAAGTCCAATCTGGGATCTGGAATGTGGAAGATAGGGGCAATACATAGACGAGACAGACGTTGAGATGTGTGACGGTAGTAGGGTTAATTAAAACCCCCAAAAAATAAACTGTTGCGTTGTGGAATGTCGTTCTCCACTTTGGCTGGAGAGCATGCTCAAGTGGGCAAATGCGGTGGCAACGTTTTATTATGCCACTTGGCTCATTCCTCTACACTCCGCACAGTATGTTGTTGGACCCAAAGCGTCATTCTATTAAAAGGGACGGCACGGGAAAGAAGCGGCAGACATTCCTTGCTGGACCCAAGCAGACACCCTTTCGCCTTCCGTTCTCCCTTATTGTTGGAGCGAGGGCTGATGAATGATAACAATTGGTGGCAATCGGATATCACGCACACACACAGATACATGGTCCGCTGTAATAATTAAAATTGTATAACATTTGGGCCATCTTCCGATGAACGGAACGTAAAGGCAGACAAGAATGCGGGCGGCATTAAAAATAATATACTCATTCGACGACTAAGGGCCGTCAGAAAGCACATTATTTTGTTTATAATCTGGAATACCCGCTGTTGCGAATTGATCAGCGCTTAATCCATCGCTACATTGCAATACCAGTGCCTTTTCTGTTCTTTTTTAGTACTGTAGATCCTTACCGGCGGACTGAATACCTCTAGTCAGATACGAGTCCACTTGACACACCACAACGATCAAATTGTATTCCTTGACAGCGTGAGAACACCGCGAAAGTAGGAGAAGGGAGTATTTGTGCAAGGTACAGATTTTGTCGTTTGGAATCGGCTGAATGGGGATTATCAGTGAAATGGGATCCTGGTCCGTACTAGATGCTTAAATGGTTTTCAACGATCTGTAATAGGAGCCTTCTAAGGAGATGCACTCGCAGTGCCGCAGGGTGTACAGGGGACGCTCGGCGTACAGCGGACACCGGACTTCCCGCAGTGGGTGAAATGTTCAATGTAGCACAAAAATCGCTATTTCGGAAATAAGAAATTTACAACTTTTTTTTTGGTGGTATCCATTAAGAGCTCTTTAATGAGATATTGGGTTTTTTATTATTTTTACTTAACATATGGTGCGCCAGCTGTAGCTGTGAAGTAGTCTCTTGGAACACAGCGTCAGGTCATCGAACGGAATTCGGAACCGCTCTCGGGAAGATTCTTTGATCGGAAAGAGCTGGTATGTATGAGGTCGGTAATACCGGTAATAACGACTCGGTATGATAAATAGTCGGCCTATCTAAAAAAAATTAATTTTTTGCTCGAATTATTCTTTTTTATTTGTATACATAATCTTGTATGTATGTTTTATATTTTTGTTTTTATGTTTTGGTGTGTTCTGGTTGATCCACGGTTTATCCGGCTTTAATTTCTTCGGGTGTAGGAGCTCCTGCGAGCTCTTTTTTTTTAATTTCACCTAACGTTCGACCCCACGTGAACTTGAGTCAAATAAAAGTCAAAAGATTTTAATGCCAATTAGCATCAACAGCATCCATCCATCTGCAAGTTAAATTTTAACCTCTTTCGCTAAGGACACGCCCATGTGTAAAGCCAGACATGTAAAACGTCAATCATGAGCCAGCAATCAATAAATGTTCCACCATGCATACATCTCCATTTGTTCTACATATATGATCATACATATTCGATTTTGCTCTGGGCATTACCTGTTCTTGATATTAACGGAAGTGAGCGGCACGTCACACACATGGAATTGAATAATAAACTGGATCAGCATACGCTGCAGCAAAGGTAACACAAGCCCTGGACAGACTCAAACAACATGGTTCCCAAAAAGATAGATGCTTAGATCTTATCCTTTGCTTCAATTACAGATGATCCAATCAGGCATCCATACAGAGCATACTCAGCACACAAACCACAAAGAGCATGTCAGCATGTCAGCGATCTTTGGACGGACAGGGAAAACGTTTGATGGCATTGAAGCAATTCCATGCGATCGCTTGGTCGCCCGTCGTTTTGTTAAATAAAAATTAAAAATGTTCAATTTCTACAGCTGCAGCTGCTGCCACAGTCACAACAGAGCGCACACATCATAACAGATCGGTAAAATAGTCAGTTGGTCGCATTCCCAGCATTATTCTGCTGCAGTGGAATGGATCATACGTATTTGGATACGTATTTACAGGTAAAGGCGAGTTTCAAGAGGAACGACAGGAGGAAACTTTAAAAGGCAGGATAGAGAATTTCGTTGAACGTTGAAGTCATTTTTTCTGCACAAAATAATTAGAAAAAAAAACTTGTTAATACCATTTTAAAAACACTAAAAATTCAACTTTGGACGCAATAAATAATAAACTGAACAATTCTATAGAATAACTTAAGCTTAAGTCGATCTGGAAGCCAAACTACTATGAACTACTACTACAAACTACTATGAGACAAAAAAAAAAGGCAAGCAACGCAACAGTTATGTGTTTGAGATGTCGAATAGCGGTAGATTACGCTCGGTTGAAAATCCAAAGCTAGATGTTCGTGTTCCGCAGCGGTTCGGTTAATAAAACCGCAGTAAACGGCTCGAGTCACACCGCACATAGGCAACAGAGATATAGATACAATGCCAGTTGGATGCAGATACTCGTATGTACATTCACTGAAACCCAGAAACAGGCTCCGTCCAAAATATAGATAGACAAAGCTTTAAAAGCTTTCCGACGTACCATGATTGTCACGTGAGTCAGCTACACTATCAAGAGAGTCCAGGGCCAATCCTAAGCTGTTATGAGCGGGCGCATTGTCACACAGCATTAATTTTCCATTGCATTGGGGAGCACAAGCCGAAGACAGGGAGTGCAGAGTGTAAGACGAAAAGAATAATGGCCATCATTTATCATTTGACTATGGGGAAAGTTGGGTTACAAGACAAACTGGGTGGTACAGGGGGTGTAGGGTTGGCATTGTCGTTCCACTCGATTCCACACCAATCCATCGCTCAAATATTTGTCTTGCTTAAAAATTTTAAAACAGTTTTGATCCCCAACCAACGATTAAAGTTTCCATAGTGCTGGCTTTTCCCTGGGCGAGACTTTTGTGGTTTCCACGAGCGGATTATTACTGAAATGTTTACTCAACGATCACGAAAGCTCTGCGCGATCAAGGAAAGTGCTTGCCCAGGCGGTTGGTGAGAGCCTCAGAGTGCACAGCACTGTGTCTGGACTTTAATTGGACGGATGCACCGCGGAGTATCGTCTTATCAGTCCTATCCACTCTGCGTCCCAGTATATTTATATTCGCATTCGAACCTATCGAGACTGGATCTGAGCAACCTCGAGTCTTTTGTCGCTGTTTGCTCTACGTTTCACAGTCAAAAATATCTGCATACACAATTTATACAATACATAATACACTTTAGAAGATACAGGAAATGAAAGTGATTAGGGCCAGGGACATTGTAGACGAGCCGAGCTTGGTGGCCCCGCATCCGTATATAAACTTTTTGCGCTTCCTAAGCGCAAGAAGCCCAGCTACGGACTGCTGCGACTCCTTCAGGAGGCTCCTACTCTCTGGGATGTACTAACAGTCGCCCAGAAGAGGCTGTTTGAAAGAGAAGTAAACGACGATACCTTCATTATCCTATCATAGCTCTTGATTCTCTATTTTATTGCAGCGCATCTTGGCACGCCTCACTCGTTACACGATTGCTCGTCGTCGTCGTCGCCGTCGTCGGTTACTGCGCCGCAATCGAGGCCACCCCTGGCAAGGACATGCTCAGGTTCGACGCCCCATCTACGACAGGCGCCCACCATCCAGGCGCAGAGCGCGCAAATAGGTTCGGAGTGGCTTTTAGCCTCTGATTTGTGCAGGGCATCCAATACAAAAAAAAACAAATTGAAGAATTTGCCCTGCGATAGCTTTCTTTCTCTTTCTGTCAGAGATCCTGTTTAAATTTAATGTGTTCTGCTTCTGCGGACTGACTGACCCACAAACAGCAAGTATAGCTAGCTAGTAGCTAGTAGCTAGTAATATGAGCTTAAGGCAGCCAGTGGTCAAGCGTCGATCCAAATAACCACATCTAACTCCTATTGTCACCTGGCAACAAGAGTTTTCTAAGTCTCGAGACCACCTGAAATGGTTTTTTTTTCGGAATCAAAATGTGGAGGCGTGTGCTGCTATTGCTTTGAATATGGAGAACAACGAGGGCCTGCCGAGAGGGTCACGACAGGACCAAAGCACTTCCGGTCGTTTCTTTCTATCTGGTGAATGCCGCGATTGGACTCGCAACATTTATTGTCCAGTGAACAAATTTGACCTTTTACTTGTGAATTGTCTTCTCGCCTCCTCGCAAAAAACAACAAAATGTTTATATATTTTAAAAAGCATGCAAACATACACATCACATATACACATATAAGTTTGTCTTTTTTGCTTTCATTGCGTCACCTTCTCAGAGCAATCATGAGTGGACGAACTGACGGACGGTAGTCGCAGCTCAAGCTGGGGAAGCCGAAGACGCTGATAGGTATGTTTTTTGTTTTATTTGTCGCGTTATCTCTCGATGTTTCTAATGAAAATTTCGCCATTAGAGTGCTAGGAAGAGCATCCTTCACTCTGCGGCATGCGCGAGATAGTCGGGTCGGGGAAGGGTGTTAATCAGAAAAAGTCTCCCATCCCCAGAAACTTTCCGTTTCTCAATAAATTATTTATCAATTTTAATTTCCGCTCGCCACACAAAAGCAAAACAGAGAAAGAAAAGGCAGAAATAGCGACACTTAATGGCTCAGCTTCAGCTCCAACTACATTGTTGTAAGTTTCAGTATTCCACACGATTCGGGTTTCTGAAAACACAAACAACGGACGAACGGCATTTGCCCGCAAGCCAAACTGGTTGGCTTCTGCTGCCGCTGGCCGCAGGCAAATTCCCGTTTTGGATGTGGCGAATGTTTCTTTGCTCTGCTCTGGTGTTTAGTTAACTAAGTCGACTATTTGGCAAGCGTCTGGCGACGCAACTTGTATGCGGATGGCTGGTGGATGGTGGATTGACAGTGACAGAGACGACTGCAGTGCTTATGTCATACTTATTGTATATATTGCCACCATTCGAAATAGTAATTACAATATAATTTCCCTCTCACTGCTCACTACTCTGGTTACAGGTTACATCGGCTAATACTCTTCCACACACTAGTACCCGTACGAAAACTCTCAAAGTGCTTTTGAACAAGAAGTTATTTAATTCCCAATAATGAACAACCTACATGTATGGTACTTACGTACGTACATATGTATTTATTTATGTATTTACCTCTGCTATACCGAGACGAAATGAAAACGAACGCTAGAGCTGAGGAAATAAACGAATCGAAGTCAAGCCCAGCTGAGCTTCATATCTTGAAGCAGAACAACGGGTTCCACGGTGCCACCGCTTCTGCTTTATTTCCCTTTGCTTCCGTTTGGGGTTTCTCTTGCTTGTTTACACATTGATATTCGCGCTCGGGCTCAGAAACGGACTCGCATTTGTTTTGCTCGCTGTTCTTCAAAGGGTTCATCGACACGTACTCGAAACGTCTACCGTTCTCTAGTATTAGATGCAACTTTAAGTACTGATTATCGCCTACGACGCGACGATTTAATTTTCACGCACTTCTCTCAATGAACTACAAAAAATTGTGTCTCCCCCAGTCAATGAACTGACAAAAGAAATCGAGAATGAAGAGAAACCCCGAAAATAGATAAATGAAACTTATCCCAGGCACATGGGGACAGCCTATAAATGTCATTCTTCGGTGTTTTCCTCCCCGTGACCTACGCCGTTGCTTCTTCTGCCCTCGAATTCCGCGGATAACTCAATTAAAGATGTAAATTACATTTTAAAAATATTTAATATTTTATATAGTTTTAGAAAAAAAAACGAGAAAGCACGTGTGAGTCGCTTCTTTGGACGCGACTCTACTTTTATACCCGTACTCAGTCAGTATACAAATTTGTAAGCTTATGATTTATGTAGAATTTAAAAAAAATGTACATGTTACATTTTTTTTGCTACATCTGTCATCTACATTTACATCTAACATGTTTATTCTACATCTAAAATGTAGATTATACATCTTTAATGTAGATTTTACATCTACAATGTAGATTATACATCTTTTCTGCGAAAGGTCGCGCACTGCATACGGCAGAGTGTGTGCCAGCGAGAATGTTTGAAATACACTTGTAGCAGTGTAGCCTAACCTATATCACATGAGTCTGGAAACAAAATTTGGTTGCTCTAGCTCTTACAGTCTCTGAGAACTAGGCACTCACGAAGACGGACGGACAGACAGACAGACAAAAAGACTCTAAGCTGAAAAAGTCCTCCTAGCTTGTAACTCTCAACCTTTAATGCTATGTTCTCACAAGTTACTATGTTAAGTTCTGAAGAAATAAATTTAATTGTATAGAAAATGAATACTATAGTACATAACCGAAGAAAGCACGATCCTACAGCGAGTTGAATGTAGAAGGCGGAAGCGAGAACTTACAGCATCTGATTCACGCAGCAGCAGCGTTGAAGCGATATTTAGCTGTGATTAATTCTATTATCACACATTTTTGGTGAAAAACATACCTTATTATTGTTTAGTCCAGAGGTGATTATGCAGATGGGTGTTGTTCGGTAAGGGTGTAATCCACTTTGTGCCAGTCTAATATCAATTAGCGGAGATAAGCAGGGCTTGGCACTTTCACTTGTAGCTTTTCACATTGGAAATCACAAAAAAACGGAGACCTCAAATTCCTCCTATTATGCTTCACACACAGTCACAGACACGGCAACGGGCACAGATGCAGAGGCAGGTGGAAATGTGAAGGCTGGCCACTGTGACACCTTTGTTGTTGCTCACAGATATTGTTGCTTTTTCCTGCCCTCGAAGCCAGCTATGCCAAGCAGTAAACAATTGAATATTGTAGATGCACAAGCAACCACAGCTACAGCTACAACTACAGCCACAGCTACACGGACGCGACTTGCAAAATCTCGTTTCGGTATTGCTGCATGTGTGTGTGTGTGTGATTTGTAGGTGTATGGGTTTGTGTGTCCGAGCGTCAACGAGCGAATATACAACGAAAAAATCCCAATTTGGACACTTGTTTCAATATTTGATTAACATATTGCTTGATTCAACACTGCTTTGTTTCTTTTAGAACATAAACATATGAGCAGTATATTTATTTTAGCTGACGCGGTGTGGCTCTGCTTGCACGGCCACAAACACACACTCGGACGAGGGAACAAAAAGAGACGCGCCCAAAACAGTGTGTATACAAGGGAGTACAATTCAATAATATATTTTATATGTGCACACATTGCTTTCTGCAGGCACTACGATGCACTCAACAATTTGTATATTTCTTTTTTTCCCACGAACAACGAACATTAATTAATTAAAAAAACACGCAGCGGAGCGCCCAAATCCACCACAAATTTATTCAGATTTTTTTTTTATTTGCGCACACAAGCGCACTGTAAAATATGTGTATCAGTGTGACCGCGGATGTTTCGATAAAATATACCGACGACCCTCAAAAATATAACCTTTTCATTTTCAAAATATACCGAGGAAAAAAAAAACTTAATCTACTCAACACAGCTCGATTATAGCACCATACAGTATATACTGTATGGTTAGTGTTATAGCCTAGCTGTTCTGCGTGTTTCTAACACGCACATGAAAGGGAAACAAGCAAAACAGGAGCAAGCCGCCTAGCAAAGTGGAGACGAATTTAATCTAATTAAGGCATTCAAATGAAAACCGATTATATGGATATTATTATTTATTCATTTTATACCCGTTACTCATTTTATTAATATATAAGGAGATAAAAATCACACTAATGTCATTTATCCAATATTTTAACAGATTTTATTTGTAAGCAAACGGAAACAGTTTAACCGTAGATCATTCACTATTCCCACTTTGGTCACACTGGGCACCTAGCAAAATATCTACATAGCACTACTACTTATTGTCGACAACCAATTTAGCTGATCTGGATGTTAATATATGGATGAAATTGATGAAACAATTTTTAAATGTTGCTAATGGTAAAAAACGTGTGTTGTGAAAGAATACCCCTAAAGCACTTCGCTATACATTTGAATTATTACAACAAATTTTAGTTCGAATGAAGAATTCTAATGTAAATAAATATGTATTTTTATACATATATCTTAACTCTGATGTGGCGAGGCCTGTCTCCGCACAATTATAATGACGATAATCCCAAGTGTAGCTCTAGGACCGTATGATTTTTTTGACTTTCAATTTCCTACTACGTGAAAATACTCGTACTAGACCGACAAACATTCATTGCAGATTCATCTGGAGGATAGATGGCATAAATTGAATAATGCGTTTTTAAGTGACGCATTCTTCAGTAAATTGTGCAATTGTCTGGGCAGCTCAATTTAGAAAACACAAGCCAGCAGGACAAGATCTTGGGGCGAGGCGTATATTAGGCCTGGGCCTTGCGTGAGCTCAACAATCTGTAAATCCAGAGTGAGTCGTCAAGTAAGAGGGTATCTCTCTGAGCTACATGCCGCTGCAATTGGACTCTCCCCCAATCCATTGATTGTCCGCCTCATTTATTTGATTGAATTGATATGGCGTCGCTACAAGATGTCTGTCATCTGGTTCACAGTGCTGGCTCTCGCGAGGGTTGAAACAAGACCCTTAAATTCGTCACGCCAGCACTCCAACCCACACATCCATTCAAATCCGAACTTCACATATAAATTTAAAACACCACACACCGAATGAAGCGGAATAGCATGGGGACAGAAAATTGTGTTGTTTTGGGCAATGGATTTTCAATATTACGTCTACTGTTCTGGTATCATGTTCACACATCGTGGTGAGGAATGGGGGGCTCGATTGGTCTCTCCAGTCAATTTATGAAGCAGTGCCTGGCATTTAATATTTACCCGATACATAAGTAGAAAAAACATACATACGTACATAGTGTGTTCGCTTACTTACAAGGTTTCTGGGGATGAGAGAGTACGGAGCTTTTCACACTTTCCGGGCGGGTTGCGGTTCACGAGCGCAGTTCAAGAGCGTCAGAAAAGTCGTTTCCGAATAGCTGCCGGCATCAGCAACACTCTTCAAGTGGTCCCACAGGCCAAGAAATACTTCAAAATAAAAAAAATTGTATTCGTCTGAATGGATTTTCGACTGAGAACTCTCCAGAAATACATCTGCTGTGTCTCACTCACTTCAGCGGCACTGTCAGATTCTGATTGTCCTACTTGTCGGGAGTTCGTGAATTATGTAAGGGCCAGAGTTCTTTTTTTGCATTGGATTCTAAACGAAAGTTACATTTTAGATGATTGTCTGATTGTCGGTATATGCTGCTCATGTATCCGCTGGCGGTTCCATTACGCTGCAGGTGCATCCCAGCGACGATGGAGAGGAGCAGCCACTGGTGCTGAACATTCGCGACTCCACGGAGATGTTGCCCATCACTGTGCGGGATTCCATCAAGCAACTGCAACGGGCCCACATGCGGAATGATTCCCTAGAGTTCGACTACATCAAACTGACGACAATCATCATCATCAACGTCGTCGTCTAATCGTCTTGATCAATCTAATCTTCGAGTGGCCAGGGATGTCTGGGTTGGGCGGGGTGTGTGTTAAATGTACAAATTCAAATGGAAATGTAAATCCAATGTTTATGTTTATACCACCCAATTATCTGCTGAAACCCTGTGGAACCTACAGGGGATGGAGGTGGTACTTGGAAATATGTAGTTGGGGACATGCCCGTAAATACTTATGTATGTGAGTACATCAAAACTGGATCTATTTTAAGCAGCCCCTCGCGACAGGCGGCAGTCAAACAAACGGGTGTTGCTTGTACCACATTCAGATGGTACATCAGCTTGCAAGACAACGGCGAAATGCACTATGGACCAGTCAGAAAGTGGCCCAGGGGAAATCCCACAGTCTGTGGATGGGGACCATATGCGATGTAATGCTATTTTCGGAAACGAGAGTTTCCATCGATGTGAAATACCTGCTGCCTTACGACGTCGCAACAGTCGAGTTAAGCCTTCAGATGAGTGTTCCAGAACGAAATTAAGAATTAGTTTATGGCACGACTTTACTCAGACATAGGGCATTTTCAGCCCCCCCGCCCAGCGATAGCATCTCTATAGCCACCCCAACCGCACTTCAAAGATGTCGTGCTTCACACATTTCATAGTGTGTTTTTATCAAAATTTTTCGAAACACAAAAAGCAGCAATGTCCCCATGGTTGTGACGACCGTTTTTATTGAACAAATATTTAGAGTACCTTATCCGGATAGTGGGGATTAGTTAGTATCTTCCCTTCATAAATAGGTGCGCCTTCAGGCAGCATCGCTGAGGATCTCTGTGGAGCATAAAGAAAACAAAAGGCGGATTTAGTGCTAGTTGACCTTCAGGGACAAAAGCAGGGAGATATTCAAATGTGCTGCCAGATCTCAAGCTTATATACAAAAATTCAACGGAACAAGGTTGATCTCAGTACTTCCGCCTTGATGATGTAGGTATCCTATCCGAGGGGTAATTGATTGGCTAAATTGTAAATTCGAAATTCTAGTTATTGCCTCATTTGCGTGACTCTTGACTCATTCTGCGGGCTGCAGACAAAATGCAATCGCTTAAGTCGTGGTGCTTGCCACACTACAGCACAGTTTGAGAGCTGGTCCCTCTAGATGGAGCTGACTTTGATAATAATAGATAAACAAAAGCGGTTCGGTTGAGCCGTTTTGGGAGTGCAGAAGAGTGAAAGAGCTTACTTAGCCCATGCCGCACAGAATGTGTGTGTCATCGGACAAGGGGTGCGCCTATTAAAGCCATAATCGCGTAGAAGCGGTCAGGCAGGTAAATTCATAGGTTGCGACCAAGGGATGCTAGGTGTTCACTTTTGCTTCTATTTGAATAAATTGAATTTCGAGTTTTTTTTAAATTTTAGTCTCCAAAAAAAGGCCCTGTCTATATGCCATATACTGCTAGCACTTGATTTCAAGTGAAATGTGAAATGAAGAATCCGCAACATTACATTCTATCCGGCCCATTGCCTTCATTAGTTGTGTATCAGTCCAGAACTGTCCGACGGAATGGAATGGAAAGGGCTTTCGAATGTGTTAATGTGTTCCCTTGACAGACGAGGCATCAGCAGTTTGACTGTACTATACTCTGAAAGGCAATGACTTGCCGAACTCCCTCAAGCACATGGTATCAATGCACGCAATGTGTCCATACGGTACGTAACGATTTCCCTGAACCAAGTTAATAAAGTAGAAATTACATATAGTAGAAGTAAACGATCCTTTATGTTATATTAGTTGGCCAATCAAGCGTTCATGTGTTGCATTCCTTACTCCCGACACTCTTTGCTTGGATGTACCGGAGAAGGAATCTTACTCACCGAACAGTAACGTCATCTCTACTTCCGCTTTCTACCGCCTCCGCCTCCACCTCCATTTTCTGGAGCTCTTGATCTTTGATTCTTCCTCATGCTGCGTTTGCGGTTCTCCACTTTTCGCTCAGCGTTGTCTTCGTTGCGCTTCTTGATGAACTCCAGTCGCATGCGGGATTTGACAATTTGCTCGGGTCGACGTAGCTCCTTGTCAGTGCCACCCATTCGTTTTTTAAGCTCCAACTTCGCATTGTGGCGCGCATGTCTGCTGACAGGATAGCGCTGGGCATGGCTCAACGGCTTGCGGGTTTCGTCTTCGCGCTGCACCTGTTCCTCAATCTTGGACTTTTCCTTCCAATCGGTGTAGCGCCCAGTCTTGAAAGAGGCAGGAATCCAAGCGCCAGATTCGGTACGAATTTTGTTGGCCCGTGGATCTTGCACGGACACCATTTTCTTTTTGATGCGGTCCCATTTCATCAGCCCTGGCTTGTGTTTCGTGTCTTGTGAACAGTTGCGATCTACGACCGAGAATTCGGCATTCTGTGCTTGTCGCTCGAACGTGTTGATGGCCAAGCCATCTTCGGTGTGCTTGTCAGCCGAATGATATGGCACGTAATGCTCTGCGTCCTTGGTGTTGGCACTGCGCTTTTTCCTCTTGGGCTTTTCTTTGTATAAGTCATCCATGTGCAAACGTCTCCTTGGCGCTACAACTTTATTAAATGTACTACTAATGGCCTCTTCATCAGCGGTGGCCATTCTGGCTGTGCTCGGCTCCTGTTTTTCCGCATCCCTTTGTGCCTCGTCAATATCCTCGTCAGTACGTTGCTGTCGAAACTTTTTGATGACATCCGCGTGCTCTGAGCGCTTTGTCTTCATCACGACAAATTGAGTTGACTTCTGTGTGCAGTTAAGCTCAAAAACGGTCTGTAATGAATAATTGAAGCAAATCATTAAAGTTTTGCTGGTAAAGGAATTAGGGCTATCATACTCCACACGGCCTAAAGTTGCGCATTTTCACTAATATGTCATGCTTCTCCTCTTGCAGCTTGCGCTCAGCAGCAGCTACCTCTTCCCGAGACTCACTCGACTGCCCATTGACTTGAGCGGCTTGCGCGAGAACGGGAGCAGCAGTGAAGAAATCCTCCAGGGGCTTTAGTGCGTAGAATTTAATCTTCTTGACGCGTGCGTTCGCATCTGTGGATGCCACAGGACGGGAGCTCAAGTACTTCTTGTATGCATTCTCGCTGGTGCGCAATACTCCGGCCTAAACACGAGAAAACATGAATAATGGGCAACCGCAAGCAGAACAGAAGCACTCGTATAACGACTTACTATGTGGTGACTCTTCTTTATATCGGTTACAGTCAGATGCTCCTCTTCCAGCAAATCTTGTGGAATTGTGCCCATGGTCGAGCTGTCGTGGATATTAAAGGGCCTATTGAGGAACAAGTGCAGATCTAGCAAATGGGCAGTGTCATCAGTGGAGAATATGGAATACGCGGTTCCAGTACGTCCTGCTCGGGCACATCGTCCAACACGGTGCACAAAGAGTTTGGGTTTTCCCGGAAAGTGAAGGTTAACCACATAGTCCAGGCTTGGTATGTCGATGCCGCGTGCCGCAACGTCCGTAACTATAAGCACCGAAACCTTTTTGTTCACAAATTTCGCAGTGTTGATCTTACGCGCTGCTGGGTCCAGGCTGGAGTAGACGGATGTGTTGGAGATGCTAGCTTCACCGAGTATAAATGAAATCAGTTCAACATGATGCTGTGTGCCAGCAAATACCACGGTTTGCGCCTCCTTTGGGATAACATATTTGAGTAGCACCACGAGTGCTGTGTAGCGGTCATCGGGCCGGCAATGTACAAATTTTAAGGCCAATGCGTCTGGCAGTTTTGACTCCACATCCAACCGTATGAGGACTGGATCATTCAATCCGGCCCGTGCAAAGTCCACCAATAGTTTGGGTAATGTAGCGGAGAACATAACCATTTGTCGTGCAGAAGGCAGTCGATGCAGCGTTTCATTCAACTGGGTTCCGAAACCCATTTCAAAAAGGCGATCAGCTTCATCAAACACAACGTAATCTGCAAAGATTAAGGTGGACATACATTGAAGTTATGCATTTGTATACATGCAGGGGGCCTAGAAACTGATGGAATACTGACCTATGGAGTTCAACTTCAAGTCCATTTCAACACACAGATGAAGGAAACGGCCCGGGGTGGCGACAATAACATCCGGACATGTGTGGATAGCTGAAAACTGAGAGTCCATAGAGTCACCACCCAATACCAAAATGGTCTTCAGCTCCATAAAACGACCCAATTCCTTGACAAACTTGTACGTCTGCACTGCCAACTCCCGAGTAGGCGATAATATCAACGCACGGGCGCCCTTTGTTGGATCGCGACGCTGCAGCTTCTCAAACAGAGGTATCAAGAAACATGCTGTTTTGCCAGATCCAGTTTTGGCCATGGCGACAACATCTCGCCCCTCCAAGATGAGTGGAATGGTCTTCCTTTGAATAGGCGTGGGCACTTTGTACCCGCGTTTTGTTATACCTTTGATTAATTCAAAGCCAAGACCCATTGATTGAAAGCCACCGCTTTTCTTTGATTTGGGTTTGCTCTTGAGGATGTCGTCGTTACGGCCGCCTCCACCCGCATCGTTTCCCAACGAAGGAAATCCTGGTATCTCATCTACTTGCTTTTTACCCTGTTGTAGGAGAATATTTATTATCGCGCAATTTTCATATACAAATATTTTCCTTACCATTTTTCGCTTACACGTGCAACCAGTGGACTTATCGATAAAACCCTCAGAAATATACCGAAATATACATTCTTATTTTCAAAATATACCGAGGAAAAGAACAAACTTAACCCACTCAGCCCCACTCTATTTAAACATGTGAACACCTTGTGTTGAGCCGCGAAATATACATAGTACTTTTTGTATATATTGATTTTGAGATATTGAATAAATGAAACAACCCTAAAAATATGATGATAAAATGAATCAGTCTTCGTCAATTTATCGGCCGAGGGCGAATCTCCAAGAAGTGGTAAGGTGTGTGACCTTGACCCATAAAGGGGATCACAACAAAATGCCGCTAGTGACGCTCCAAAATTTAATTATTTTTAATATTTCTAATAAATTAAAAGCAGTTCTTTCCGATCTTAAAGGTCTGAATGACCATGCCTCATGCCCCAGCCAGGGCCAGCATTAAAAGAAAAATGCTTCATATTAATAAAAATCAGTTATAAAAAATGTTTGAAACCGCTCAAACAATTTGCGTTTTTAGCAAAATGAACTTAAACTTAGCTGATTAACTTGATAAACTATTCTTAAAGCGTAGCTTAACTTTTGATCTCTTCTATTAGAAATGTGCATGACGATATGTGCGAAAGCAGTCAATATAGTTGCACATTAAAATCAAAGTTCCCTCCGCTGGTATGCTATCTGCTATTTACAAAAAAGTTTAATCTAGGTCATAACTACAAGTCCCCTGCATAATCGATTTCTGTTTCCGATGCTCGAATGAATACAAGCTGTTCCAAGCGGTCAATACGCTTCAGCATTTGTTCCTTTTCTCGGTGAAAGGAATCCACCCGCCGGCGCAATTCTTCGTTCTGACGTCGAAGCTCATGTAGTTGCCGACAAATTTCGGAAGATGTCATCAGCGGCATTGCATTAGGGACCTTTGAGCCCAGCTTTGCTACGTTGCCCACAGCCTTGATGGCAACTCCGTTGCTTGTCGTTCCGAGGGCAGCTCCAGCTGCTGGGGATGGTAGCAGCTGTATTGTCTGCACGGTGCCCACTTGTCCTCTCAGCGAGCTCGCCGTAGCGGGCTGGGACGATGGAGCAATGACTTCGTTCAGCAACTGCTGTTGCTCATCCAATATGCTGGGTTCTGGGGGTCGCTGAACGGATGGAAGTTTAAGCTGAAAGTAGACAATACCAAGATGATATTTATTTTCGGACATTCAAGTATGGCTGCGCTTAGAAGTAAATAAACCAAACTAATCTTAGTAATAGCAAGACAAAAAACACCACCACAAACCTGACGAGACTGAAGCTGGCGCATGTTTACCAGTTTGGTGCCATCGGGGAGCTGACGTACTATTCCAGAGCTTTGACCGTGTATAGGAGATGAAAAAATAAAAACGATTAGACAACTGCTGGCAATTTAAGAGGATGGGTCTACCTTGCCAATGATGCGGGTATTTTTTGTAAGGACTTTGGTTGATTGTCTGTCCCGCAAAGTTTCTTAAAATCAGTCAACGAGATTATACGTATGTTCTGCTTAGAAAAATAACGTCAGCTATGGTTTTATATAAGGGAAAGCCATAGAGGTCTTACCTTGTTTTTGGACACCCCAGCTGGACTGGACGACGCTGCCTCCTTTTGCTTGATGACATTCATGCGAATCTTTTGAGGGGGCGAGCTGTTAGGGGTGAGACGGAGACCCATATTTGAGGTTTTCCTTGCGCTTCCATTCACATATTGCTTGACGTTTATGCTCGACTTTGTTTCGTGCAACAGCATACGTCCCCCTTCGGAGAGAACGAGCTGACGACCGTTTTGTAGGGCTGTATTCAACATTTCCTTGGAGGCCTCGTCATCGTTCTCCTGCATCATGTCTGCAATGCCGTGGGTCTTCAGCATATTTAACGCCGAGTTTCCCAATACATTGGGATCTGCAAAGGAAAAATTGGTTGATACCCTTTTCTAATATACTTAATAAAACTTACGCCCGCGGAGGTTTTCCAAGACATCCATTCTTTCTTCGACTGACATTTCTGTATTATCAACCCTTTTTGGGGCCCCAGTCTCGTCCATTATTGAATTGACCGCCTCACTGGTTTCTTTCTATGAATCAATTATAGTAAATATTAATAATGTATCTTCTGACTACCATTCAATGTGTTTGTTAATTTCTACAGTCCAAAGTGTGGCTTATTATGGGGCATTATGGAGCTTGAAGCAATTTTGTAGCAACCAAATATAAAATATTTGAGGTACATACTCTGCTTTTATGTGTCTGCCGCTGGAATTGGTTTATTGCATTCGTCGGTAGTAAGAAACCGTATATATATAAGTTAATAAGTAAGCGTAACAACTAGAGACAAACTAACACTCTCTTGGAAACACAATCCTATTTCAGCACTCACCTCCGTTTCCTCGTTAAACTTTCGACTGGCCTGGGCCTGCCGAGCAGCCTCCAGTTCGGCCAACACATCTGCCTGTTCAGTGTACACGGCCAATGCAATTGGCGTCTTGCCGAATTTCGAAACTAGCGACACATCTGCCTGGCATTTTAGTAACAATCGCACAATGGTTTTGTGCTTCTTTTCCACAGCCCAGTGAAGAGGCGTCATTCGAAGCTGTGCGATGGGTCATAATTAGGTTACTGAATCAGGGTAAAACTCATTTCGTACCATGTCTCGAGAATTAACGCTGCACTTGAGCGCCAGCAATAAGCTGACTACTCGCTCGTGTCCGTAGTAGCAGGCTAAATGCAGAGGCGTTCTGTCCACCTTGGTTTTGGCGTCCATATTGATGCCGCCCTGTAGAAGTATTTCACAGATTTCCAGTTGGTTGTTCATGGCAGCAAAGTGCAACGCAGACATTCCCAGCCAGTCTGACGCAAAGGGAGCTCCATGTGCTAGCGTCGTTTTGACGCCAGTCACATCGCTGTCCCTTGCGCATTGAAGCAATTGCTTGCCTAGGTCCACGACAGTTGATGGACCAGGCACGTTGCCCTTCTTTAGTTGGAGTTCTCCTTCTGTTCGCTAAACAACCGAAAAACGTTATTTTAGCCTTAATACGATTCTTGCTACTTACAATTTCATAGTGAAGTAAGTTGGTATGATCAGTGGAATCCATTGGATACATTTGGAAATTTCCATCCGCTCGGAGAGTAGCAACAACCTTGCTGGGGCCGCCTTGGCTCTGCATTTTAGCATGCAAATACTTTCAGCAGCACGGTGGATCTTTTAGTAAGCATAACTGCTAACGGATTTTGTGATAAATAAAGAAAATATGTCAAAAAGAAATGTTTATGTTTTCCCAACTAAATTGTCGATATTAAAATATCGATATATATTTTTCAGCGCGATGTTTTTTGCAGCCTAGTTTTATAGCGATATAAGCAGGGTTGCTATTGATAATATCACTTGAACATAACGAAGTGACAGTTGATGTAGATTTTAAATTTCACTCACCATCCTCTTGCTCACTGTTTATAATGTGCAGTTGTAACTTTTAAAACAAGATGCGGAAATAGCTCCAACGACTGGTAGCTTTAGTATAGACAGATTAATTTAATGTAAAGCAAAAACGTATACATTTTTATGCAGTGTTGCCTTCTTTCTTTTTGGAGCTCTTCATATATGTACATATTGATATCTTATCACCAGGCCAGACCGATACAATGGCAGAGCACGAACACGAGCTGTGCTGTTTATTGCGCTCGTATTATTTTAGTAAGCAACTTCAGCGGTGGAATTCGATTTAATTTAATTTAAGTACAGTGAAGTTACATTTTTCCACATATGCGTATAACTAAAAATAGACGATATATTTAACCGTTAGTGCTTATTCACCCTTATACATACTGCTGTCTTAGTGCTTATCATTGCATTTTTTAAGTGTTTGTCACAAACCTTGACTATGTACATTTACGTCCTAGCTACGTAACAAAACCACTAAAACATTATTCCATGAAAGTAATTGTGAAAAAATGTTTCTACCAGCACACTTATGTACATTATCAAACTGACGTCATGTGTTTGATAATGATAACTAGAAATGAGACAAATTTGTTCTGCCTAGGGTTCGAATAGATAAGATAAATACGTATTTTATAGCTGTTAGTCAGAACTTACCCTTGTATATTATTCGTTTAAATACTACTGGTTTTCCTTAAACATAATTAAAAGAATATCGAAAACTATGCTATCCATAACTCTCTCAATACAAAGAATTGCGTGTTACAATCATATTTATTTTCAGATTAGTCTAAGAGTTCCATATAAATATGAAGTTTTATTATTTGCAAGCCATTGTTATGATGTATTTAACAACATACCACTGCACTTTATTGGTTTTAGCTCAAAAAACCGACCAGAACAATTTAAACAAACATGGGTAAGAATAATGTTTAAAAAAAAGGGAATATATGTAAATACATACATATATTTAAAATTTTACCATAACCCTTTTTAATTTATTTCCATATTTACTTTTTATCTTAGTAATATTGAGGGCATATACAATGCCATAACATCAACATCAACTGAGTCGTTGGACCCAATTTCCGGCCACAATAGTTTTTTAACCGAATCAAGCACATCTACGTCCTTGGTATCCATTAATAGTGCCTTACCAGCTGACTGTTCGCAGCGAGAAAGGAACAGAGTACAACCAGTAGCAAAAACTTCTTCAATGCTTCGAAAATGCTGCCCACTTGATGAAAATTTGGACATCTATCGTGAAAATCAAAGTGATTCGATGTGCGACAATGGTATTCTTAAGTTTGAACCGACTGTAATAAGCGCAGTTCTCTTTGACAATTGCATTGAAGATCTAGAAATTGAAACGATTCTTCCCTATGATATTGGAAATCCATGCAACAGGTAATTAATTATCATTTTTTGTTTTCTAAAAACTACAATGGTTTTAACTTCAAGAGCAGCTCCTTTCAATATGATGATGAAGAGGATGTTTTCTTTGTGTTACAAGATGGATCGTTATTGATTATCGATCATGATAATGAATCCTACACCGTCGAAGAAAATTACTGCTTGGATATTGATAAGACGGGACACTTATTTGCTTTCACATGTATCACGCAAGTTGAAGAACAAATTGCATTTGCAAAAGTAATTGCTCATTTTTCACTACTTGTTCCCAACCAAAGTTTCCTACTAATTTAATTTGTTTTTAGGTGGTAATGGTGGCAGTCCTCATGCTAATATCCATGCCTTGCCTGCTATTAGTTAGTTATTTGCACCTGACCCTTCGTTTATTGCGTAACTTGCATGGACTCTCCCTAAGTTTGATGTCTTTGTGTTTGGCTTCAGGCTATTTTGTGCACTCTGTTGTACACATCTACGGAATTCCGTACACAGGATTTATTGGTTACGTTATACAGTTTTGTATACTAAGCTATTTTTTTTGGTACTTCTGCATATGTTTTAATGTACTTTTTAACGTATGGTATAAGTTGCCTTGCTGTATACAACTAACAAAGTCGTGGGCCACCATTAATTTTATATGCTATTGTCTAATTGCTTTTACGGGACCGGCTACTTTAGTAGCGCTCACGGTGCAAAAAGGATTGCCAGGGATGCCATCATACTTTCTGCAAGGACTTACAGAATCTATCCGAGAATCACAGCGCTACTTTATTCCTCCTGTTTCCACAATTTTAATTTTTAGTTTTTTGGTGAGGATTGATAATGGGTTGTGAAAGGATTCCCACTATTATAATGTATATACTTACATTTTCCAGGTTAACTTAATATCTTTCTTTGGTTTTCAACGCATTAATGGATATTCACAGGCAGAGAAGAATGATAATGCTGGACCAAGTGATGCCATATTTGATCAGCAAAAATATGAAGATGTGAAAAAGGAGTAAGCGGACTTTGTATCTTCCCAAGACGAAATCCTTATTATATTGTGTGCGATTTCTTTGATCATATTTTCAGTGCGAAATGCGTCAGTTTACTGGGTATTATTATGATAGTAAGTTGGCTTCTTGAAATAGTCACATTTTACTCAGGATCCAACTCCAATTACTTGATCCTTTGCGATATGGTGAATGGTCTACAAGGAGTTTGGGTATTGCTCATTTTTCTTGTAGTACGTAGACGACGTACAATAATTTTGCGTTGGTGGTATGATCGCGGTTCACATAAAATTGAAGGTACAGAGCTGCAGGATCTTAATAAAAATGTGAATCATATATAGTTGTAATGTCCTGTAACTCTTTCACACTAACAGGAAAATAAACATTTTTTTATAATATTTATATAAATTGTTGTTTATTTCGTCTTACACATAAATATTAAATTTTTGTTCTTGTCATTTGTATACGTGTAGTATGATCATGTAGTTTAATAGTCCAGTTAATTGTAAGAAAGTTTTACCAACTATGCTTTAAGTAAACTTAAAGAAAATGTGTAATTTTGTTTGACTATCCAAAGTAAAAGAGCCTTTTTATATTTAGTTACTGATTTACGATGGTTGTTAAATAATGTTATAATAAAGTGGTTTGCTTACGTTTCTGTGCTACGCAGTGGCTATTTCATCATAAACTAAATGAGTATTTACATGTTGTATGCGACGTAGATGGGATCCAACTGGTCGGCCAGAAAACCGTCCCGTAAATGCATCCGTTGCTTTTCACCACGGCTGTTTATAGGCACCACTCCTGAAAAAATCTCTTTATAAAGCATCCTTGCTCGTTTTTGTATTGTTTTTTACGTACCTGGATCAACAACCACAACAACGCCTACTATTAGTTGGTGATCTTCCAATACTGTATTTGTGACCAAGGGAACTAAGTCCAGCGCTTCTGATTCATTGCCATCGAGCTCCACAACAACGACCAGCAAATTGGTCCAGGTGAACACGGCACTAAAAGTACATTGTGTAACATTTAAATATAATAGGCAATTCTATTCTTCTTACCATTCAGCAATTTTTTTGTGACACCGCATCACTGAATTTTCGATATCAATTGGATGATAATTCATGCCCCGTAAAGAGATCACTTCATCAACAGCTCCGACAACATACACTGCATCGTGTAGCTCTTGGTCATTGGAGTTAACGGCACCACTTACTATGCTATGCTCAGAGTTTCCACCCAACGAAGCGTTTGAAAAGTTTAATTGCAGTTGACTTATGGAATTCAAGGATTCAGTATCACTGTCACGACTAGCCACACTTGGTGTGGTCTCGTCAAGTAAAGAAGCTGCCTGTGAACACTCAGTGCGCCGCAGAAAACCTAAATACCCAGTGCGTGCGTATATCTCAGCTGTAGCCCCAGTGACCAATTTAGCATTAAAATGATCATTATAGTCGGTTTCGTCGCCATATATGGTAAAGTATCCATTTGCATTATGGGGCGATTGTACCTGTAAGATATATATTAGTTACAGTGCAAGTGAAAAACCAGGTAAAAATTTACCCAAATTTCTCCCAAGTGTGAGTCGCCACAGTGACCTTTAGTATCGGGATTAGCTATTATGACTTTCACGCCAGGTAGTAGTTTACCCGATTCAATAACACACAATGAATTTGGTGCACCACGTTCAACCAATGCCACACGATTGTTACGCAACGCTCTCATATCCACATAGACCTGAGCACTTTCTGCAGAACTAGCCCCCTGCACGCAAATAGCAGGATTAACACGGCACCCGAAGGAAGTGGAAACACATCGAGTGTTCAGACCAAGGGCCTGAAACAGCTTGCAAAATTGTTGTGTCAGCTGCACTCTTGGGCGCTCTTCTGCCACTACAACACATGTCCGCACGCATCTTAGGTCTATATTTCTTTGCTTCAAAGAGGGTATAGAATTGCTAAGTGCTTTAGTGCATAATTCTATCACACCATATGAACAAAACGTGTCGCGAACACGGTGTTGCGATAGAGTTGACAACCACAAGCTGGGATTAGCTTCAACTTCGTAAGGTGCTATAAGTATTGAATGGTGACCACTGTATACCCCGATAAGAGTCCACATTACAAATCCAAGACCACAATAGGGATCCAAACATAACGCAACATGACGAGACGGATAAAGTTCACATGCCAATTTTAAACTAGCACACAGACTAGAAAGGGACCTTTTGAATTAAGATATTAGATTACTAATATGCATATCTAATCATCAAAAGGATATAATAATTACATACCGATGTGTTATATTGACACCGCTAAGACGTCCGCAGGTTGATACGCTAAAGTCCAAATAAGCGCTAGAGTCAAATGAGACTGTGGCTAGGCCGGCATATTTGCGTTTTGGGTTGTCATCAATATCTAATATAGGCGGCCATGTCTTTGGGT